GATGAAATTAAGCTTGAATTATTATTAAAATTAAATAATTGACAACTTTGATTTCCTGGAAAATAGTTTGCTGCGGGCATTATTCCACTGAATGTTATCAGTCTACATATACATTGATTTAGAGTGATATTAAACAATGATATGTTTGCAACATCAATTATTGTACTATTCTGTATTTTTCCAATAGGAATAGAATCTCCGGTTGAAAACAACAATAAAATAAAAACTATTGCAAACATGTTTAACTAGTTTTCTTTATGAACTGTTTTACAATTGTTAAAATGATTTTCTCCATGTCTTTTTCTCTCTAATATTTCAACGCCTTCCAAGAAAAAAGGATCATAAATTGTCGTTAAAGTGCTTGATGAAAGAAGTACATTTGTTTTTCTATTTTGCAATATAGAATGGTAGACAGGGACTCATGACATCAAAAACTAACAGAAAAAACGCCGATAAAAATCATGACAAAAAATGAGAAAGTATTCTCAAACTCTGAAGTATTAGAAATACCGAGATTGCTGTAATGGACTATAAAGTAAGAAAGGTTTGTGAAGCACCATTTTAGACAAGTATATTCAGAAGTACATTATATATGTAGCAATTAGGAGAGCATTAGTAGAAAAATATTTCTTCGAGGAAGAAGAAAAAAAATTTAATAGTTTTTTTTACGTATTTGCAGAGGTGGAATCATACCCATGGTAATAGATAGTTGTAATGGAAAATAAAATAAAATAAATATCATAAAACGACGAACGAGTGTAACAAAAATTTCTGATAATTATAATGTCTTACTTCATGTACATCTCAAATGACTAAATGTATGTTATAAGTGAAACTATTACTGAAAGAGAAACGTTTTTCCTACTTGTTTCACATATTTTCAAGGTTGACAATGACAACAACGACAAACAGAGAAATTCTATCAACCATCAGAATATCTGTCTTTGTTTTATTCTGTTAAATATACTGAATATAATCTGTTTGAATCATAATGAAAGGCTTTCTTACCTCTGTTCACCTCTTAAATGTTAAATGTTTTTTGAAATTATAACTAGTAAATTTTTTACAAAATATCTTCCATAAATTCAGGTACTTACGCATAGAAGAATCTTATTACGACATATATATGTTGTCATTTTATATACGACACTGAAGTAATAAGGCGTAAAAAGGTGGGTCCTACAAAAGTTATCCTTCATCAAAACTAGCTGTTAAATATATGATAGTGATAAACACCTTGATGGTGCGGATGGATGTGACTGTAGATGAAAACTTGTTGTGATCCCCACATCCCTCTTATTATTAATCATACGATTTACTTATTATTGCGTGAGTATATCGACAAGCATATTGCTTGCTCATATGTTACAGTACTTAGTGAAAAATAAAATCATATATAACGTCATTGTAGAAAATTGATTTAAATCTAGAAAGTTTATTTTTAAATGGAATCATTTTCAAATAGATTGTATTTATGATTAATATTATTGTTAATTTATTTATAGAAGATATTTTAATAAATAGTTTTTTTTTATTTGATCATCATATTCCAAAATTAGATTATATATTGATTCCAAAAATCTCGAAGAAATGATCTATTTAAAACTAAAATCATCGTATTTATTCTTTCTATTAAACTATTTTTCAAATCGAAAAATAAACTTTAACAAAGGTGTTTTCATAATAACAGATATTAAGAGAAAAAAAAAAAATATCGACATTATTTTATCATGTACTTCATTTGACCATATCTTTTTTTGATTAAGTTTGCTTATAATATAAAATCGATAAAATGGTCAAACTCATTCGTTTTTTTAATACTTACTCACTATGTGGCATTTAAAAAAAGATATTTTACGGTTACGTATATTGCGCATACATCATGAGTGTTAATATAACGAATTAGTCATATTTTTCTTTCGTATTTGACTTCGAATGTGTAATGAAGTGTGATTTTATTTTTTTCTACCATATTATAATTGGAGGAAAACGTGAAAAAAACATAAATAATTTATGCATTGAGTAACTGAGAATAGTATTCGTTGTATATAGAAGTTCTATAAGTGTGATATAGATGATAATAAACACATTTATTTTATATGACATATAACGACTGTCGTATATAATCAATTTTATATTGTATGAAAAAATCATTTGTTTTTCTATGCAATAATTCTTTTATTTATTACATCTTTAGCTAATGGTTATATTTTCTCAAACAGTGTGATATTATTCAGTAATCATATTGACAAAAAAATTTCTTCGTTGATTTAATAATTATTAAAGAGTATGAAAAAAAAACATCTTAGAAAAAACTTCGAACTGAGAAATTTCAAATAATTGATTTAAAGAAAAAAATGTTACATTGTTTTTATGAAGAATATAATAAATAGTACTTTCTAGGAAATTAATATCTCTTCGTTTGATTTATAGTAAAACATTCGTTTTAGGATGAGAATTATCTTGAACTGATATTTATAGATGCTTAGTTACATTGAGAAACTTGAGTATAATGTAGAAGTTATAAGTTTCAATTTTTAATTTGTTCTTTATTTATGTAGCAACACCAACACTACTAATTAAAAATTTTAGCTAGACTGTTATAAACACTGTTTTCAAAAAAATAATGCATTTTTTTATTATGTATATGATCGATTGAGAACGATGTTTTTCTTGCTTATAGTTCATTTATCTTCGTTGAAACGTTTGTATCAACTACACTCGTGTAATGTAGATCTCTATTTGTGTCATTTTCAGTAGTGTAACTTATAAATAATAGATCCAATATAATACAACTTCTAATCTTTGTTGCTAATTGAAAACAAAGCTACAACATAAACACTCAATATTATTAACAACCAGCAAGAAAGACATCATATTCATCTAGTTTTTACACAGATATTTATTGTATTTATAGTTCAAATTAATTTTAACACGATACTACAAGAACAAGAGAAATAATTTAAAATTAAGGTACATCTCGCTTCAATGAAAAGGAAACTTTCGATAGATTATTTTTTATCAAACGGAGTCTTCCGATGAACGAACCATGATCGGTTCCTTTTCTTCAGGAGCTACACCTTCCATATGCTCATGTTTTCCGCCGTTTTTATTCGTCACTTGGTCATTCGCAGGTAGTGCCTTTGAAGTACAAATAATAACTAATTATCATATACTACTGACCATTCACAATGACATACCTGAAAAATGTCTGAATTCTTTTCCGTTGGTGAACAGCACAAGCAGAAAGTCTGTTGACAAGATATCAATAGAGATCGATCGATTTTCTCGATATCCGATTTGGAATTATCTAAATTAGATATGAAATTAAAATAAGTCTCACAAGGAAACCTTCCCAAGTGTCGAATCATTCTCGACTTGGGACTATTGTCCTTATAGAGAAGTCCTGGTGAATGATGACAAAGTTTATTTTGGCTAAGTTGACTGATCTTTCGTTGTCGAGT